GATTTGTCGTTTCAATTTCCTGTCTCTCACATTAATACATCCTGCTATTCATTCTATTAAAATAATATTCCGAATTGTTCCAAGTGCACTTTTTTGGTTGACTTTCTCTCCATTTATAAATCAGTGTGGTTTCTCATTTTTGTCTAAACCAAAATTCATTAACTAAAACACCCTGAGGAGTTGCGCGTTGTTGAACGAGACGATATTAGTACTTTGCTACTTTGCCCCCTTCAAAATAGTATCACAACAATTTTTCTTAATCCAAACTCGGCGGATAATTCTCGACCTCCCCGCAACTCTTTCCCCCCCCCCTCTCTCTCTCTCTCTCTCTCGCAAAAATATTCTATAGAGAGTTGATGTACATGTACAATGCAACGTGGGGGACGTTTATCATACAATGATACTTGTAAATCATAATAATTATTCCCATTCAATCCATATTTCAATATAACAGTCCGCGTTTGGTTAGGGCGAAGGGAGTCAATGACTAGCTAACCGCGCTCGGGTAAGTCGCGGGCATATCACGAGACAATTCACAAGCCAGGGGTTCACCCCTATTGTTCATTGTAGTTCATTCACAGGGTTATGATCTATAATTCTCAATACTTCGCCCTCGTTTTATGATTTGAACTAAGAATCCGAGCTGGAATTTCAGGCAGGAATTTGTTACAATTTCTAGTTTTAACCACACATTTAACCACACAATATATAAACATTTTTGTGTTTCTCTAAAAAAATGAAAATATTATTGATTTATGAATCATGTTATTTTTTTTATCTAGGGAATCACAATAAAGTTAAAGCTTTCGCGCACTGATCAAATTGTTTACATTATCTACGTAATCATATGCAAAAGCCCGCCGAACACTATGCGATACCACTAAGATCCCTCAACGATCCAATTTTAAAAGAACTTGCAATGAAACGAACATTCAATCTTAATGACCCAGGATACTAATCGTCATAACACGAAGATATTCTAAATTTCGAAGGATTGCATGCTTTCTTGGAAGAGGGAAATCTAAATTGTGTCCTAGAATCCGAAACTCGAAATATCAAACTCTTACTTAATCAAGAGAAGAAAGGAAGAAAAATTGGCCCCGTTGCATGGATCAAGGCTGACTTTGCGGGAGAGCGCCCCACTTTACAACACCCCTTGGGGGTAAAGCCCCCGTTAGTTTCACCCCTCTTCCACGCTTGACTCAACAACCAAGGCTCCGAGGGGGGATGTCAATGCACCCCTCGGTACAAAAGACCCGTACCAAGGGGGTGGTATATGGGTACCTCCCAAGTACCCGAGCGAGTAATAACTTCTTGGTCACACGTACCTCCTCGGTGCGTTCACATTTGGAATTTTAACATTATTAACTTTGAATATTTCCCTAAGTTAAAGGGGTACTGTATATGTAGCACTCCGGTCGCAATTTCTAACAATCAGCGCATTACAATTTGCCTTACCTTAACAACACATACATGTAATGTCAATATATATACACCAATAGACAATATAACTATACTTTTAGTTTGATTCAAAATATCTGATTCTTTTATTTTTGTGTCAACATTAAGATTTAGTAATGGTGTCGTCGTCTGGTGAATACGTCGATGGACTTTGAGTCACAGGGTCCGTGGTTCGAGTCCCGCTGCGGCACTAATGTCCTTTGGCAAGACATTAATCTACATTTGCCACTCTCCACCCAGGTGTAGTAAATGGGTGCCTGGTAGCCTGGAGCTCTACATTGAATGCTTGAGCGGTTTGTGATGACATGGTAGCTCAGCTAAAGTCGAAGTAATGATAATGAGATTGCAGGGCCTTCAGGGAGGACAGCAGTATTAATAGTGATGAGAATACCCCTGGTAATTAAATTAGACATTTTTTTTTTGGATAGACGCACCGGCACTGTTTTGGACTTGTAGCCGATTGTCACAAAAGGAAGTTCATCAATAAACAGCTTTCCAATCAAAATGGGGTGCAATATTGTTCTATTTTACACAAAGTGACACATTTTCTAGTCTCAAACTTAAACTTAAACAACATTCGAATAATTTCGTATTACCACTCGCCTTAGTATCACACACAATCATGCGCGCGTTCACCAGAATGGTTCAAAAGTTTACTCACTATGAAAGATTAAAATACATACGTGAACGGGTTTTAACGACATGTCATTTGCATTACGATGAAGCGTGCCCGAATTATTTGATTTAGACATTCACTCAAGTATGAATGGTTCTTTGTTGGAGGTGCTCCGACCGCACTCGATACTCGATTGTTCAATCAGAAAAAAGAAGAAGGAAAAAAAGCGAAAATTGGTTTTATTGATCTCGTTACCTTTTATCAAAGTTCTGGACTTGACTTTTTGATTTTGTAAGAGTTGATGGTTGAATCATTTACGTTGATGACACTCTTAGTGGTGGTCCGTCATATTGCAGCTCATCCTTAGCATCATACGAAGACCTTTGGGAGGATAGCATTTCTAGTCTGCAACTTCGGGAGGACCAGAACTTGATTTTATACCGACTTCATGTGTGCTTCAGGCGTCTTTAAAGATGGAAGCATCGTACTTTGCGAGAACATCTTGAAGGAACAGGAATAATACTGCTTCGTCTTCTCTCACTCTTCTTTGAGGAAGAGATACTTTAGGAAATGGTGAAAGACATCTGTGTTATGCAAACTTAATATTATAAGACGCTTTTAGTTTTAGGCTCCGTGAGTTCGGGAAATTTCAGCTTCTAAATATCTTCATCCGTCGTGTCTTGTGAAAGTTGTCACTAGAAGCTGGGAATCGAGCTTAAACATTTAAACATTTCCATGTTAGCTCTGAGGCCTAAACAATTTGTCTCGCCATTCGACGTCGTCAGACTTTAAACGTGACTGTGACGTCATCATGACGTGTTACATGTTGCCTCAGTTTTGCAATCCATTCTATCCTCCATTCTCATCAAGGCGACTAGGTAAGTTGGACATTATTCTCCGTTAATACACAGGCGAAAATGTCCTGCACTAGTCAGCTTCTTAACTTAAACCCTGGACGAAACACTATATACTGAACCATAACCCTAACCCTACAAACAACGATAGACCTGACGTAAAACCCAATTTTAACTAAACCCAACCTTAAACTTTGACGAAATAATTCCCTAAGTATTTGTCACCGGAGCCAATGTTCGAGTACCTGACAAACAAGAAATGCCCACTGGTCAATAATTGACAATTGCCTACGAAATCCTGTCTTAAACATATATCAAAGATTTATCAACCTAACCCTAACCAGAATCTGACGTAAAAACCCGGTTGCGACCTAACCCTAATTGTTTGACGTAATAAAGCGCAGCGCAAATTGGCGCAGGAACATGCGTAGAAATAAGATCAAGTTTCCAAAACGTTCACAAGATACGAGGGAGGGAGGGAGTCAGACAGATATATAGAGAGAGAGAGAGAGAGAGAGAGAGAGAGAGAGAGAGAAAGAGAGAGAGAGAGAGAGAGAGAGAGAGGGGGGGGGTAAGGGGAAGAAAAGGAGTAAAAACACACGATGATACAAGATACATTGTGGTATTATATACTTTGTAGTGAAAGTAATATAAATATGTAATAACTCCTGATAATTCAAGTACGAAATCGAAAGAGTTTTTTTACTCTCTACCTTATCGAGCAAATGTTCCTTTACCAAAATGTCCTTAGTAACAATAACTTATTCGAAATTTAAAAAATGAATAAAACCAAAAAAGGGAAAATGAATAAAGATAAAGGGAGTAAGAGCATTCCTCATATATCCAAATCACATTAATGCCTGAAGACTTCGCGTTCAATCACTGCCAACAAATTCAATGAAACTGTATTTTCTTCACAAAAGCAGTTGGTTCATGCACTTATCTGATATTTGGCAAATTGTTTTTAACCATGATTTGTCATTTTCATTTAGAATAACATTGTAATTTGACATAAAAAAGTAACTGACTTCGTACGAATGGCATTGGCACGGTTATCCATTCATTAATTTTCGTTGTGTTGCATATTCATGCCAAGTCGGTTCTCAATCATAATAAGTGCATTTTAACAGAAGCAATTTTATGCCTAATAACCTCTCATTCATCACGGCCTAGCCACCAGCATTCAATGATAATCCAAGTCTGAATCAATCAGGTATTCATATCTTGTGTTAGATAAATTATCTAGTTGAGAACAAAATAGTGTTTTGTGTACCGTTTCCATGGCTATGTCGGTGCCGATTGGAATCGGCATTGATCTATAGCGGTTACGAGGACACAGTCTTATTTTGAGCGTTAAACTACTCCGGCAAATAAATGTATATACTTGGACAAAAACCCGGATCTTTGGGCAGAAGGGAAAGGGCAGGGGGGGGGGAATTAATGAAAGATATAATTGGGACCCATTCTAAGAAATTGTGCGAGTCCCAAAGAGAGAGAAAGAGAAGGGGGAAAAACTAATTTTCAAATGACAAGAACATGAAGAGAAATAGATCAGAGAGATTGTGGATTGTCTCTTTGGTGGTATATGGGGAAAGCGAGGAACGGAAAAGAGTAAGGAAGGAGAGGACAGGGGAGAAAGACAACGAGAGGTGAACATTGAAGAACGAATGAGAGAGAGAGAGAGAGAGAGAGAGAGATAATGTGGAAAGGAGGGGACTGTGATTGAGTGACACTATTTTTCTTCACTCTACATTACTATGGCTAATATTATAATTCAAGTTCAATTAATGTAGTGACACCAGAAAACCAATGTACCATAGCACAGATATGTAACCTTCTGATCCGTGTCGCATGATTTCTTCCTATGATTGCTAGTTGGGCTTCCCAAAATTCTTTACCAAATATTGTCTTTTTCAGTGGAACCTCTTTTGTGGATTAATTAACGATCATTTGATTTTTTTTACCACAATTGTCTAGCAATTCGGGCTCTATCTTTATATTGCCCAGTGACCATTATGATAAAGACAAATGTCCATTTTCTAATTCTTACTTTTTTTGTTTCATTGTAGGAAGCAACCATGGAACGAATGGACTTCACTTCCAGACCCATACCACCTTCTCCTCCTCGGCGGATCTTACCCTACGTCCCCTGACCTTTGGCCCGCCACCACCAACAGCCCTCCCCATCCACCCCACCAATGCCATCGTCGACGCAACGACGCAAGGGACGCCACAAGGCTATGGGTTGTCCTCAAAGGATATGCCATTAAATGGGATGAGGGAGGAAGCACCCGGGAAGGGACAGTCCTCTTCGGTTCCGACCCTCTCCAATGGCTTCATACGTGATGTCTCCAATGCCTGGTTGCACACTCTCGCCGACCTCTGCGACTGGAAATCAAAGCAAGACAAGTCACCACCAAACGTAACACACTTGAATGGCGCCCTCACACCCACAATGGCTCCAGACTGTGACAAACCGTTAAACGAGCTAGGGAATTGCTTTTTGAGGAAGGAAACGAATGGGTTCTCTGCAAATGGCAGCACGCCTCGAAGCGATTACATGATTTCGACCATCCTAGCTGGAAGCTCGGGTTCGGTTAGTAATCATGATGCTATGGTCACGAACGGAGGTGACATCAACCAATCCAGCAGGAACTCAAAGATCAATAGCAATGAAACTATTTCCGACTCTACCAGTGGTTCGAAAACTGCTTTTAAAAACTCCCCTGAGATTCCTAGCCTGGAACATCTTCGCATTATGAGGAACAGTCCTGAGAGTAGTATCAAACAAGGAGGAAATAGCGGAGTATCAGCTAATCAAACCGTTGATGCGTCACTTTCGAGCATTCCAACTAAGAATTTGCCACCACGGAAACGCCACATGCGTTCATTAGTGTCGCCTCCTACCGTTCTGAAAAGTCCGTCCAAGTCAAGCACTGAGCGCATTTCGACTCATTCGTCTCCATCCAATGAACAGTATCAACCTGATACTTTCATTCACTCAACTGCCTCATCAAGTGAGCCTTCACAAATAGAATTACTGTCTAAAGACTCGCCTTTAAATGGAACCAACAGTCTCACGAACGTTGATCTAAAGAAACGAAAGGACATGTTTGATCCTTTAGATGTTGTTCAACTGTCGAAGCGACATGCCGTGGACAGGATGATCGCATCCGCAAGAGACTCACCGTCCTCTTTAGAGTCTATCCCAAGCTCAAACAGTGATAACAGTAATAGGGGTTCCCCATTTACGATTGAAGGTTCACTTCCAGATAGTGGAAACAGTAGCGGGAATAGTAGTCGTAGCGGTGAACCTTCCCCTTGCCAGCCTATCATGAATCCGTCCATCCTTCAGTCACGCCTTCAGCCATCTCTACAGCAACAACTCCCGATCCCAAGCAATTTAACGATGCCAACTCCAAGTGCACTTCTCCAGAGACCTGGAGACCTTCAGGCACATTTGACATTCCAACAAACAACTCGGTATAGCATCAGTCAGGAAATGCTGACCCAATACAACGGTCAGATTCCACAGATGCCACCACTGCAGCAGGTTCCTCGGTTCTTCTCACCTCAAGATCCGTTGCCTCATCCGCAGCTTAGCCAGATAGTTCCCAACGGGACTCCTGCGCCATTAAACACAATCAATCCAAATTTTCCACATTCTAAGACATTTGACATCAGAGGACCGATTATCCCGACCACGCAGACTCCTCCCATCGGCGGAACTACCCTCCGTCCGATCCCTCTGCATTATCAAAACGGCTTTGCCCAAGGAGGCTCACCACATTTAGAACAAAGTCTACCTAGACATGCAATGCCTCACTCTGCATTCCAAGATCAGCCTCCTCATCTCATCAGACCAATCCCGCCTCAAACTCTTGCCCAGAATGTGTTTCTTCAGCTAACTAACCCACCTGCCAGTAACATGTGGGTTCCTCCAACCTCGTCAGCTCAACACCAGGGTCTTGTCAACGGATTTGCTGGAGCCACTCAGAATTCTCTGCCCCAGCAACAACTGCTTCGGAATCTTGCCGATCCGGTGACCAACGTCACAGTCCAACCGCCTCCCACCACAACAACGGTCGAGTATGCCCCACTCAAGCGGGCGCCGGGGAGATCTCGCTTGAACAACCATGTGTCCAGCGGACTATCTATGGGGGATTCGACGTTCCTCTGCGAGGTCTGCAACAAGGTCTTTCCACTGCAGAGGCTTCTGAACCGTCACATGAAGTGCCACAGCGCCACCAAGCGGTACAACTGTGCTTTCTGTGGGAAAGGATTCAACGATACCTTTGACTTGAAGAGACACGTCAGAACACACACAGGTGAGAAATTGTTTTTTTATTTAAAAAAACAACTTGTAATTGTTACCTATAATGCATGAATACACATTATTAGGCTAAGCTGATAATTTCCACTTGCGAATTAGTTATTAATACGGTCCGTTAAAATGCAGTACGGTCATTCTGGAGAGAAAAAAAATCATGTTTCTTTTCTGAAACAGGACCACCCCCCCCCCCCTCGATTCTGAATTACTTTTAATGGGATTTACTCCGATCAGTTCGTTTAACTGTTCTTCTTCTTCTTATTGATAATCTGTCTCCTTCAATGCTGAAGATTCTTGCATATGTATATACTGGTGTGCGCATATGTGGACCAAGACACCGGGTTTCCCCCTACTCTTATACGAATAGTGCAGTTGATGAGTTGCTTCTCGAACTCAAAAAAGCGTGATTGAATTCACCAATGGTACAAATAACCCGTTATGATTCAAATGAAGATAATGTCTGAAACATCCCAAATGAGTTCACCCTAGACAATAAGAAAGATTGTATTGCGATACATTCTTTCCCAATTTCAACGAAATAATCAGAACGCATCATATTTGATCAGTTAATATTATACCTTCATTTTATTTCCTTTACATGTCTTTCCATTTTCAGGAGTACGCCCTTACAAGTGTGAAAATGTGGGAAGGCCTTCACGCAGCGGTGCTCGCTCGAGTCCCATCTCTCTAAAGTCCATGGGGAACAGCATCGGTACTGCTACAAGCAGCGCCGTTCCAAAATATTTGTCTGCGAGGAATGCGGCATCACGACAGAAACCGCCGACTTTCACTACGACCACATCAAGGAAATACATCCTGACAGCACCGAGCTGCGCAAGTACCAGGACAAACTCCAGTTCCAGAAGCTGGTGATGCAGCAAGAGGGTGCTGCGGATGAAACCGCCGCGGACGGCAGGGGTGGTTTGATGAGGAGCCGTCCGGATCTGAGCCCAACATCGGAGCTGATGCTGTATAGGGAGCATGACGAAGCGGCACTACCGCTCCAGAACCGCGCCGAGCAGCAACGGCGGATGAGCGAGCTGCGGTCATCGGGGGACGTGTCGCCGGTAAGCAGCGGTAGTAGCGGTAGCGGCGAAGATAGGATGATAACTGAATATCAACATGATTTCAAGACTGAAAGAGCAGAGGAAATCACTCGCAGTGGTCACCATAATACTTCATAACTATACTCTTCTTAACCATTCATACTTGTGAAGCAATATCAACAGGAGGCCGTGTAAGTAAATACCGAAGATAACCCATGAAATAGATGGACTTCGAAAACTTCGCAAGGAGGAGAAGTTAGCCTTAATAGCCATAAGCTTGACCTTAACAAATCTAGTATTCTCATCTTTGTTATCGTCTTGTGTGTTTATGATCATCATATGCAATAGATATCTCAATTTTGTGAATTTATACATTATATTTATATATTCGGTTGCAAAGTCGGACAATTAGAGATAAAGCAAAGGTTGAGTACCCTTCACGAATTCAATATAGAAGTAAGCAAATTTGTTGGTGTGGGGAAAGAAAACTCAAATATTTGTTTGTTATAATAAGTCTTCCAGTTACTCTCTCATCCATTATATTTTGTATAGATAATTAGGATTTAGTGAACTGCACATCTTGCTCCGGCAATTGACAATGTACAGAACTGTATAGATGGACATAGAGAGATACGAGTTCAAATGACTGAGGTGCCGTTCATGAATTAATCTCAACGAGCCTTGAAAATTGCCAGTGTTTATCCACAACTTACTGAAATATGAATAGATTTATAAAGCATTGTCTGTTGAAAGTCTGCCCTGTACAATATAACCATATCTGTATTTGAAATAGGGGCGAAGAATAGAAGCCATTTTTTTTGTTGTACCGAATTGGCGAATGAAATGATGAATATATATTAAAGGTAAATCTAGAATTCGGGAAGCGAAATTTTTTATTTCATTTCCATAGGTCAACATTTTGGAAGGAAGGGTGGTGATCTGTAAAGGCATGCAGTGCCAAGAAATGAACTTGCAGCCTCAGTGACGAATGATGAATAAGATGGAAGAGAAAAATCCGGCATTATTATTTTGGGTAACGTAAAATTAATGCAATATCTGGGGGGGGGGGGGTGGGGGGGGGGGGGGGGGGTCTTCAAAATCATCGGTGGTTAGGGTTATAGCAATTTTAATCAAATGTTAAGGGATTGGTCCAAAGCCGTGTATTGAAATGAAATCCCTATTTCTAGAACTTAATTCGTTGATCGAACTGTGATGCCGTACAAATCAAATCATTCGTCAAAAAGGAAAAGAAAATACAGCACAAACCACATCTGTAACAAGATGCATGCGCTCAATTCATTAATCGCTGTTTATTGAGACTTGTAATAAATTCCTCAAGCAATAATGCACTGAAATATAATGTCATCGTCTGAAATATCTTACTGTGCAGTGGGGGAATAACTATCTTCCGATTATGTGTCTGTGGTAATATTAGGGACTTTTAGATTCTGCAGGACGAGAACGCGGACTGCCCTTTTAAGGCAATGTGACGTCACTGCCAGTGCCTTAAAAGGACGTCACATTGCCTGAAAAGGGCAGTCCACGTTCTCGTCGTGCAGAATTTAAAAGTCCCTACTATATAACGAGGAACGACGTGGAGAATTGAAAATGCGAAATTAACAATCATGTGACTATAATTGCATATAGTATCAATATTTTTAAGTTTATACTATCAATTCATGAATAGATGTAGCTCATTTAGCTGGTGCATTTCTAGATTATAAACCGTTTATTATTAATGATATACTTCCACTGAATAACTTTGTTATTAGGATGCCAAGTAGTTTATGTAAATTGTATTAAATATTATGAATTATAAATATAAGAGTATTTTCTTCGCTAAATTTTGTATTTTGGAAGTTGATTTTGAATGTGCCAAATATATTGATTGTATATTTCTGAAACGATTTTACCATGCGCTGAAATGAATGTATAAATGATAAATCTGATGTTGACCTTTGACTTCGATTGCGTCAATACCTGCGTCAATACCCGCGTCAACAAAACTACACAGAAAATTTAGTGCATGCGCCAATAATTCAACACATGTTTGCACTGTTCATTATAAATCCACCCTTTCTGCGATATAACTCTTGTAAGGCGCGTCAAAGAAAGGGCTAGTCGCTGACGCAGTTATACGCCAGCGAAATGACGTAACGTGTGCAACATGACTAAGGCATATTTCCATGACAACAATTTGTGTAGTTTACTTTATAGATCGTAGTTGTTGTTCGTTTTGTAGAAGTAGTCGGTAGTTGTATAGTTGCTAGAAAAATACCCTTGAAATATATGTGTATGTCTTTCCGAAGCAGTCATTGCTTAATAAGCCACGTCTTTCATCATAACTTTGAAAACTGTAGGATTTCATGTTTTTGTATCTATGCTCTAAATAATAATTCCACGATAGCACACGTTTATAAAGCCTAAACTCTTAGATAAAATGTTGAAAGTTTATTTTACGACTATCAACCAGACACAAATCAATAAGCAAGACAAATAAGCCAAGTGTCTCATCAAATTTTGGAGTATGATTCTTTAGTTTTAATTCAAAAGATGAAACCAATGGAAGAATCATTATTCTCTTTCGTGACCTATATTGCAATACATTCCGTAAATTAAAAATTCTCATGCTTATTATGTTTTTGTGTTAGCTAATTTGAATGTTTTCAGCGTTACGATCTGGGTGGTTAGGGGTATAATTTACGTTCTTTTTGTTACTATTTGTTGTTAGATCGTGAAAATTGTGCAATTATGTGTTGTTTCTGCAAAAAGTCTACCATCTGTCAAAAAAGATAAATTATGTATTTGGGGAAGAGCAGGCAATTTTTGACTCTCGCATTAAATACGTTTTGATATGAAACACACACCGACACGTGTTTTTTTTTTCTTACTCAAATCAAACGTGTTGTAGAATGGTGGTGATGATGGTGATGATAACGGTGTTAATGGTGATGAAAAGATAATGATGATGATGATGGTGATGAAGATGATGGGGATGAAAAATATGATGATGATGGCGATGATAATGATGATAACGGTGAAGTAGATAATGATGATGATGATGATGATAGTGATGATAATGATGGGGATGAAGAATATGATGGTGATTGTGAGGATGATGTAACGGTGATAATGGTGATGTAGATAATGATGATGATAATGATGGTAATGATGAAGATGGTAATGATGAAGATGGTAATGATGAAGATGGTAATGATGAAGATGACGATGATGATGATGGTGCTGATGATGATGATGATGGTGATGAAGATGATGATGATGATGATGATGGTGCTGATGATGATGATGATGATGATGGTGATGAAGATGATGATGATGATGATGATGATGGTGCTGATGATGATGGTGATGATGATGATGAAGATGATTGTGGTTATAATGATCATTGTGGTGGTGGTGATGATGATAATTATAATAATGATAGTAGTGGTGTTTTAAATGATGATACAACGAGAGTGATAAAATAAAGATGAACATGACGATTTGAAAGGGATGAAAAGGATGATGATGATGATGATGGTGATGATGATGGTGATGAAGAATATGATGGTGATGGTGATGATGGTGATAATGATGATGGTGATGTAGATAATGATGATGATGATGATGATGGTGATAGTTTTAATCGATGATGATGATGATGATGATGACGATAATGATGATGATGTACAGATGACGTTTACGATATTCGTTTACGCACCTCTCTGTCGTTTGTATTATTGCGTTGTCTTATCTTAAACTCTTGTCAAATTCCTTCTTCATCCTCCTCCCTCGATTACACTTCTTCTCAGACGTGATCTCCACATGATTTCTATGTCTGTGTTTCCCCCTTCACCTTCTCTCTCTCTCTCTCTCTCTCTCTCTCTCTCTCTCTCTCTTTCTCTCTTTTTTCTCTCTATGTCTGTCTGTCTGTCTCTCTCTCTCTGTATCTCTCACTCACTCACTGTCTTTCTATCTGTCTTTATCCCCTCACTATCCCCTATTCTGATCCCCTCCTCCTCTCTTTATCTCTCTCTCTCTCTCTCTCTCTCTCTCTCTCTCCTCTCTGTGTCTGCTCTCTCTCTCTCTCTCTCTCTCTCTCTCTCTCTCTCTATCTCTCACTCACGCACTGTCTTTTTATCTTCATTTCTCCCCTCACTATCCCCTCTTTCGATCTCTCTCTCTCTCTCTCTCTCTCTCTCTCTCTCTCTCTCATTATAAGACGAAGGACAAGAACAAGAACAATACTATTAATGAGTGGGGTATAGAGTCACACCGCCGAACCACTTCAACCCAATTTAATACCATCCCATGCATTGCCATTCGGTCTAGTGTCAAAATGTTAGGTCTAGCGTGGTTCTCGTTGGTGTGACTTCATGGGACACTAACACGTTACTATTCAAAGAAAATCAATGAAAAGAAGTTGAATTGATATTTCTGAAAATTATTTGTATTTTATGAATCTTTATTACATTCTTTTATCTCTCAGAAATTCAATATACAACACAAGCCATCTGGCTTATTACCCTCCCTTCTCGGCCTCGAGCACATGTAGAGGGAGGCGGGCACACCTACAGGGAGGTGATGTTTTTTGACCACGTAAAATACGTAAAATCCAAAGAAAATCAATGTTAAGATGTTGCATTGATGTTTGTGTAACTTATTTGAGTATTAGGAAGCTTTATTGCATCCTTCATTCAAATGTTGACCTAGATAGAGTCATCAAGTCATGTTTTTAACACAAGATGGCGCCCGACAGACTCTGTTTGAGGGTGATGATGACTAAAACTCCATTTGTATATGTTTCAAACCCTCATATCTGGGGGGGGGGGGGGGGGGGGGGGGGGGTGTTTCACAAAACTTGTCGTGAGTGACAAATGATAGTTTTTGTTATAATCTAGTGAAATCATTGCTTCTGATTGGTTATCAGCAGATTTGTCACTGATTTTTGCCATTTGTCATTGAAATTAGGCTTTGTGAAACACCCCCTAAAGTTAAATCTTATCAATCAAATGGAATCTAGGGGGCTAAACAGCCATGCCCCCCTCAATAAAAATGATAATTTTAAGGGAGATTTAAATTAATATGAAGAAAAAAAGCTGAGGATCACACACAATAATCACACCTGTAATTACAGTACGGAATGTCACTTTAATGTATTACACATCAGTCTGAAAACAAATCATTAAGGAGAACTCCACCGGTTACCTCGAAAACAACGGATTCTTTTTAAGGTCTGTTTAAATGTCTTCAAAATTATGGGACCGAATTAAGCATGCTGATACCACCCTCTACGTATATACATCAGCTTGAGAATGGGCACACTTGACAATTTGGTTAGTCGAGAATTATCAAGCCAAAAATACTATTTTCACCTCCCATTAGTTACAATAGATTAATAGTATAATACAGAGTTGATTTTAATATTTGTACAGATGTGTAGGCTACATATATTCTTGCAAAGAGAATAATATTCATTAAATTTATAGAGAGTAAGGTATCTTAAATTACTTGGTGCCATGTATTAACATACTTGAACTCTTTAAATGGTTTCTCACTAATATAAGAAAATTGTAAATACTCTCAAATTTCTCATTAATTTCATGTACATAAAACATTTTACTTACAATGTTTTAATCAAAATTATTCACTGCGGGTTCTTCCATTGTCAAGAAATTGTACATTAATTAACAATATTTCCAGTTTAAAAAATCTGAGATGAATGGCGATACGTGTTAAATCTAAACAATTCCACTTTAAAATGATTGAGAAGTGCCTCAAAAAAAAAAAAAGTAGAAATCTTTGAGTGACCGGCTTTAATATACTCATTTTCCCCAATATATTGTAGTGTTGGGAAAACGGTTTATAAAATTTCGAATTCCAAATATAAATATCTTGATAATCAGACAGGCGATCAGCTTGTAAAATTCATGGGGTTCCTGCCTGAAGGTTTATGATTATGATTGCAGCATGAGCTAAATCCAGCATTTTGTTTAGAATCTGAGGCAAAGATAACCAATCCCTTTCAGTGTGTGACTTGATGATTCTTACACAAACAACTGCATAGTTGTATCAAATTGATGGTCATGTTTTCTTTGCATTGTTCGATGTTTATTGGCCGCTTGTTACGTTCTCCAATGGAATCCTACGAATGAACAATTACAAATAAAAACAAAAATTAATAATGACAATGTTACTAATAATGTGGCCAGACTTTAACATTGGCATTCAAGTCGTAATAATGCTTTTGAAGAAGTATGTATTTTTGTTAAAACTCTAAGTCATTAACTCCTTCGTGAAATCAGTATTGGCTGGAACAGCAGAAGTCGGTAATCCATATGATATAATGATACTTTACTATTTATTCTCACCCTTATTACTATGATTACTATACTTTACTATATTACTAGCAAAATGATTTTGGTGGCAATCGTGTATTAGACCAACTTTAGAAAGTTACATGTACAGTTAACAACGCACAGAACGTGTAATTCGTATACACCCAGTAAGGAAACAATTTTTAAGGGGCCCTGGTTTGCGCTACGGGGAGGGGGTATCACCCATATGTATATAGTGCTTTTCCACTTGACCTACTTTCCTTAAGCTGCAAACGACAGGGGGGGGGGGGGTGTTTCACAAAGATCCTAGGTTGAACTTATCTCTAAGTTGGACTTAACAATTATGGAAAGCCGTAAGCATATTTGAAAATATTTTGTAAAAGTTATTTTAAAAGGCATTGAATGTTGATTCCAATCATTCATGTTTTCTGTTATCGAGGAGATTTCATGTTCTTGATGTGGAATTTATAAAAAATGTAAAATAACTTATTTTTCGTTTTTGAATATACTTTATTTTAAGCTACAAATGGCTCTCCGTAACTTTTAAGTCCAACTTAGAGTTAAGTTCGACTTAAGATCTTTGCGAAACACCCCCAGCATGACTGGTAAAAGGGCTGAATAAGCATCATCAGAGAGTTTCGAATTCAAGTTAAAATCGTACCCTGTGTAGCAATACTCGACACGAGACTAAGATAGTTCTTTAATATTCGGACTCTTATTTCTTATGTGTTTTTCACAGTTCAGGGCCCCGTCTTACAAAGAGTTGATATTAATCGCAGCTGATTTGCGATTGATATCGATCGCAACTATGTACATAAGAGATGGGATAAAACAAACTTGCGATTGATTGGAGGACTTACGATTGATTGGGATCAATCGTAACTCTTTGTAAGACAGGGCCCTAGATAGATAGCGCAATAAATGTCATGGTTATGCGAAGGTGGCCTTTTGTTACTCACTCTGTTATCTCCAATTTGGAATCGTTTCTCGTCTGGTACAAGCCTCGTAAGACGAAAAAGATGACGATAAGGAGTATGACAGCTACGGCACCGAATGCGGCACTGAGGTCGAGCACCGAACTTGCTTTAACTGTGTATTCAGACAAAAAAAAAATAATAACATGTGGCAACACATTCTTTCCTGTCAATATAAGGAACATGGTGGTAGTGATGATGATTATTACATGCACTATCGTTATACATAAGGCATTAATCCTTATTACCAGGTCAATCGAAGAGGACCTAAAGCCGTCGGCCCTCTGGTTGATTATTAACAAGCATTTATGCTTTCTTAGCAGTAAGGTAAAATAACCACCACCACCACCAACATCAAAGTACAAACAATCGTTTTCTACATACCGATAACAATCCGATAATATATTATTCAATGCGCGTTACAGGCTAATTGATTAATGCTAAACAAACAACAACAAAATATGGAAAATAAATATAAGTTAAAATTCTGTTATTCTAGAGGTAAAAAGGTCAATTGAAGTGGAAGTATTCAAAAGATGGGAGGGTATTCCTTATTTGTATGATGATAATAATAATAAAGACGATTAAGATAATAGCAATAATAATGATAACAATTATATGATGATAATTATATAATAATAATATAATAATAATAATAATAAAATACTTTGAGCACGATGATGCTGTCGCTAATGATGACTGTACTGGTAATGATGGTGATAATGATGGTGATAATGATGGTGATAATGATGGTGATAATAATGGTAATGATGATATCATTAATAGTAATAATAATAACAATAATAATTAAAATGATAATAATGATGGTATTTCTACTACTTCTACCATAACTACCACTCCTATTATTCGGCATTGATGATAAATTACCTGTAGGCGGGGGTTTAGTCATCACTTTCTTAGGTCTCTCTGTCTCTGTAAACGCATAGTTGCATGATACAAAATAATTAAAATTTGTTTGTGATTTTGTCCAAAGTTCGTTTGATCAAGCAAAAGGAATAATAATTTGAAAAGATTGAAAAAAGTGCCAATGCTCAGGCGATCACGGAAGACAAGCAAGATAACACAAACAAATACAGTAGGGGTACACCAGCAAAATACAATTTAAATCCCCTCGCTGACGCAGCGTTACGTCACGTAAAATGACTCCTCGTGTCCAACTGCAAATATTATACAGGTTCTTTGCGTCAAAAGGTAGCACTTGTAAATATCTGACAGAATTATTAATCACGGGTTTTCTGAAAGGGAGCCACAAGTCTCAAAGGTCTTTATGGCATGGATATCTTCATTTTATCACATTTTAAGGTGCCTTTTCGTCAATAACTCTACTAAAAATAAAAATAAACTAAGGGAAAAGTGTCAAATTTCCAGATGTCCCCTTTTTTGGCACAGAAATTTGTAAGAATAAAAAGGGCGGTGGGCAGTTGTATAGAAAAATACTTTTTGTAACATTTAGCGCTCCGTCTTAATTAGGTGAACCAACACAACCCGATGATTTTATTCGGACCAATTTGGTTGCCATTATACAAGCACGACACATACCTGTTGGACTGTTGGACGAAGCCCTCGTCGCTGCCTTCTTAGTACTTCCAGGCTCTGTTGAGCGATAAACGAATTTTTTATTAAGGTTTGAATCAAATTTAGATAAACATTACTAGGGTTATTGATATACAAGAAATGAAGTTCTAAAGGACCGTTGAATCTACAACTTTCAAAAAAATCATAACTTTGTCATATTTTGTCAGATTTCATATAAGCTTTCACCATTCTAATTATCTGGTATTTATGCTTTCCACTAAAGTAGTTTGCTATCAAGGTAGAATTTCCTTTTAACATTAATCACATAATAGTGACACATGTGATGTATGATATTTCGTAATTCTACATACAATTATATGACGTGTCTCACCGGTTTGGTCAATAGGGGGCGCACTTGTGGGCAGCGTAGTGTATCCTGAGGATGAGTTGCATAGAAAATGTAAATTCTTTAAAGGTATTACAAAGTTTTGGGAAATTTTGAAAAATGGGTGGATAGTGAATGTTAAAGTTTTGATTTAGTTGGATGCCCCTGTGGATGTATTAAAAGCAATAACAAATTTAGCCCCTAAAACGCTTTTGCTTTCGAGAAAAATTGAATATAAAGATTTACCGGTGCTCCCAGTAAATTGTTATTAAATTTCAAATAGCTCCTACGGCCGTACAATGTTAGCTGCGACCATGGAAATCGCAGAATGTGTAGTTGTGGTATATAATTTCCGAACGGGAATAGCTAATCGCTCGATTTTAGTCAAGAAACATTGTTGTATAGCTTTATTAATATATCGACCTTGAGAGGGAGCTATACAACATAAAGTGTTTATTATTTACAATTTCATAACTTTAGAGTCGATTTTGACCGCGACAACGAGCAGTGAATATTGTAGGATCGCATATGGTTCCAATATGTCCATTTGAACCAAATTCACGACCCCATACCAAAACTTTGTATTACCTTTAAGCAGATTTTTTTTTTTTGTAAATAGACACACACATAGAAAAGAAGACAGCCAGGGAAAGACACAGGAAGAGAAAGAGAGAGTTGAGAGCGACAGACAGAAAAAGAGAAAGAGAGAGTTTAATAAACAAACACATAGACAGGGAGAGACAGAGAGAGCATCAGATCAATCAATGTTGAGGGCTGACTTCCCTTTTGATAGTGATGTTTTATGAACCACAAATATTCCTCATCATAATAAGAAAAATCGCGAAAGTATAAATGCATCATATTTCATCCTTCTACATAGAAATATATAAGGTTTCTCACCTGTTTGATCAATAGGGGGCATAGTAGGCATCGTTGTGTTTCCTGAGGATGTATTGTATAAAAAGTGTTAATTCGTTAAGCAGAATTTGAAAAAAAAGATACACACACAAAGAGAACGAAGAAAGACACAGAAAGAAAAAAGACAGTAAACGAGAAATAAAGAGATAAATAAACAAAGACATTGACAGGGAGAGAAGGATTATTATTATAATAATCATATCAATCAAAGTAGAAGATGATCAAAGAAAAACAAAATTATTGTCTATAAACGAAGTCATGAATGTATAAATGTATTATATTATATCCTTCTACAATACGTGTCTCACCGGTTTGGTTGATTGGAGACTCATTTGTAGGCAGCGCAGTGTATTCTGAGGATGTATTGCATAGAAAATGTTAATTCGTTAGAAGTAGAATATGAAATTGAAACGCACACACATACAGAAGAAGACGGACATACGGGGAAAGACACAGAGAGAGAAAGATTGAGTGAGAGCGACAGACAGAAAAAAAGAAAGAGAGAGCTAAATAATAATAATAATAATAATAATAAAAAACATCATTAGGGAGAGAAAAGAGAGAAAGCCAGATCAATCAAAGTTAAAGATTTATAGCGATCAAAGAAAAACAAAAATATTGCCCAAACGAAGTAATAAATGTTTTTTTTTATATACCTCACTTAAAAAATCCAGCCATCTGATTGGTCAAAATTGCAGTCGTGATTTTAGCCATTCCCGTAAAGAAACAAAAAATTCCAAAACCATTTAATAGTCCAAGAGTAAAATCCCGGGTAAAATTCCAATTACGGGGAAAATAATAAAATCTTGCTTCGATACCCATTGGTTTACGTGTTAAAATGTTCTTTGAGCGAGCGCGGACATCATACAGTGCTTTTTGTCTGCGATTCCCAACTGATCGAAAATTTCAGTCATTTTTCGGGCGGTGATAAACAGACAGTTGATCAGATTTCCCGTGATGTTTTAACCACTCTTTACTCGATAAAAGGATAAGTTAAGAATTCTTGGTAGATTTTTTATTTGAATTCGGCATATAAATGGGATATCAACTGCTTTAGTACTTGAGGACTGACTGTTTCTATACTGGCTCTCGGGAAATTTGCCTTGAGCGTATAAAACAGCCACTCCTTTCGTAGCAGTCGATATCTTTATACTATCGCATCCTTCTACATTTACGTAGATATATTTTAGGTATCTCACCGGTTTGGTTGATTGTAGACTCACTAGCAGGCAGTGTAGTGTATTCTTGGGATGTATATTGCATAGAAATGTTAATTTGTTAAGTAAAATGTGAAATTAAAACACATACAGGAGAAGACGGACAGACATGGACAGACACAGAAAGAGAACGAGAGAGCGAGGGCGACATACAGTAAAAAGAGAAAGAGAGAGAGCGAGATAAAAAATAAAAAATAAAAAAAGAGAAGAAGACAGAGACAGGGAGAGAAAGGGAGAAAGAGAGAGAATCAATCAATCAAGTTGAAGGTTTATAGCGATCAAAGAAAAAAATGATTGTCTACACGAAGTCACGAACCCACATAATACATGTACAAAGTGTACGCCGATCTAGACATTGTAGACAATCTAAGCGAAAACCTTATTTACAGTCTGAATGAACCTTAATTGCAGACGTAAAATGGGTATGTAAACATTGCACACCGATCAAAAGAAAATCCTTATTTTCTAGTCTCAATAGACCTACTTTGTACACGTAAAATGGGTATCTACTTATTGGAGAAAACTAAAGGAAAACCTTATTTTTAGTCTAAATGGTCCCACAATATAAATATAAATGGAACTCCTCACATTGTAGATATTTTTCTTCATGACAATGTTGTCTGAACTAATTCCCTACGACAAGAAACTGCTGTTCAGAAGGAAAGATCGGCCAAAACACTTTAAAAGACTGAACTTAATAGTTTAAATATAGTTTATGAATATATGGATAACTTAATTTGGCATCCGCAATCACTGAGATCAGTTTTCATTTCGTTCATACAATTTCTTTTTATATGCAAATGTATATCTTACCAATGGTGACGGTTTCAGTCATTGTCGGGATAGTTGTGAGTCCTCGTATATGGAGAAGTGCATACAATTGGAGTGAATCAGATATAAAAAACAAAACATGATTTAAAAACAAAATAAACAATAGACATAAAGGCACGTATTTTATCAACATTTGAACTAGAAGATGGGCTTACACTTTGTTTGATGATGGTGATTTTATTTTGCCTGACTGCTAAGAAAGCGTGTATAAGCTTTTAAGTAAACAAGAGGGACTTGGTAATGAGGACTAATTCCTTACCAAAGGGCACGAGCGCATTGACTTGGTTTCGAACTCGTGACCTCTCTGTTACGAAACCGCGGCTCTACCACTGAGTAAATAAGTTTTTGTTTTCTTCTATGGTCTAAGTAATTATTTATTAAACGTGATTGAATATTAACCAAAAGTGCGCGCGAGGCGTTATTGCAATTACGCCATTCAATGACTACCGGATACATAATATCGATGCACCAAACCGGTCCAGGCGCAATCTTCAACCAAAACTAAAACGCAATTCCTTGAAGCACAATGCAATAGCCTGATTTTCCTTCAATCTTCTTTTGAGGGAAAATTTGGCGTGCAAATCTATACAAAGAAAAGTGCATGATTTATAGAGCAGTCGAGTGACAACTCCGAGCCCCTCCGTCATTATCTGTAGGAGCATAGTGGTTGTTTTGCAAGGCAGCAATATTTACAGGGATGAAGTTGCCCATGAAGTTTGAATACATTTTCTGTTACCGTGTTTACCACTTCCCATGAAGTGATTCTTGATAAAGTTCATCTTCTTTTTCGATCAATCTAAAGAGACAGCATTTTTTTGTTGTGTTCATTTATTTTATTTCTCAAAAGTCCAGTTGTTTTTCGTACATAACATAGTTTATACAAAACTGCAACATAATTATAACAAATCCTTTTTTATCATTTGATAAACGAACATAAATACAACATAGTTCATCGTTCATAATTTCACAATATAGAGCTAGAATATATCACGATCACATAATAGGAAATGATAACTGCACTACACAGTTTCATCCCCAAAACTAGAAAAAACATTGCTTTTTTCAGAAATAGACTAAATAAAAAACATGAAAAGTGAGTTTCATATTTCTTAACATATTATTATACGGAATTGGAATTATGAGCTTTTTTAAAACACAATCTACCCCAAACCCCTCTCCCTTCCTTTCCTCCTCTCTAACTCCTTGGACTTATCTCCCTTCTACCAGCATGGTGATAGGGATTGTTCAATAAGGCTTTGAGATGTTACAAACTGCATATATCAAGAATAAACCATACAGTCGCAATCATATTATGAACAAGGGATAAGGAAGAAAAGTATGCCAAATTTATCGGTAACAGTGTAATTGAAAATATTCGCCGTGCGTTTTACCTTCTCCCTTGGGAAATCCAAAGCAAAATGAAACAAAGAGTATCAGGAAACAGGTTCTTGTTATGGCAGCCATGTCTAAATCAGACATTTTGTTGCAACTAATTCCGAACTGAAGTCAGTGATACAGCAATGGCGTGCTCCTATGACGAAGAAAATAACTTTTGTGGCAAAATTAGAGCCCACGTATCTGTGATTTTATGCCTTTATGATACCATGATCGTCATGATCGTGCAGATATTACCGCCCTCTCTCTTCTCTCTCTCTCTTTTTCTCTCTCTCTTTCTCTCCCTCTCTCTCTCTCTCTCTCTCTATCTATCTCTCTCGTTTGCTACCCTTTTGAAATTGTGTCACGTACAGTCATGTAGAACGAGTATAGAATCGATCTTCAAGAATTTTATGAGATAAATGCAAATTGTATTTGAACTCTCAATGCACCTGATTGTTATGGCCCTGATTGAAAAGGATGAACGGAACCTGCGAACGTAGCAAATTTTAGGTCTGGAGCACATGCCCCCATCTCCACCACCCCCCCCCCCACGCTATTATTGTACCCCTATAGGTTACCCGATTAAAACTTATGAACAAAATAAAACGTGAAAACAACAGAGACGCACATATTGAGTACGTTAAATGCATTAGAATGTCATTTTGGATGCTGTACGGTCCCCAAGCATAATGATTAAAAAGCGAATGATTTAACAGTGGATCGCATTTGCATCATTCTTAGATAGAAAAATATAGACCATTAATTTTATTTCAGGAAGGGGGGGGGGGGGGTCATTTCTTCTAAATATTTAGGTAATAGGTTCCCTACCATTTTCTCACATTATGCTCCGCATTATGATACTTTATGCAGGATCAAATAATGATATTAATATAGCTCGTAACGTTTTTGAACTGCCAGGTGTTTCCGAATATGCCTATCTATTTATATTTGTGTATCCCTGTCAGATTTCGAATTTACATGTATTAGACATCATAGATTGTCGGGTACTTCATGTCTGAAAGCCCAAGGAAAGCTGGTTGCAAAATATTTGTGAAACTCTTAATCATGATAAATTAGCAGTAATATGGCGATTGTGCAGAAATGAAGTTCTAATACAAATCAAAAATTTGATAGGGATCATTTCGAGTTCAACTAATCGACCTTTCGTTTATGACCATCATTTACGATACGAATATAACCATGAAGATCCTAAGGGAAGAGAATCAGAGATCGACGGAAGATAAAGAAAGCGAGACAGCCAGAGAGAGAGAGAGAGAGAGAGAGAGAGAGAGAGAGACTGGTTTTGCTTAACCCCGGACTATTTTGGGGGGCTTTTCACACACGCTGTTTTTAGTCCCGTACTAGCGCCTATTCCGGAATAAGAAAATTCACGCTGTTCTCACTGCAATTCGTTAACCCCGGATATGGACATACTTCGTATCTGGCCAACTGCGATACGCTCCATTGCGTAGTACCGGACTATTTTTCGTTTCTGTTCTCATTCATTTGCTTGGCATCGCAATTGCGGGGTTAGCAGGAGTTAGCACCACAATTGCGGAGTTAGCCCTGCTATTTGCAGGGTTAGTTAACCCCGTACTATAGGTGGGGTTAGCCAACTTTAGCCCACTTTGGTAAAAGCCAGTCTGAACAGAAAGTGGAATAGGCTTAACCCCGTACTATAGGTGGGGCTAAGACCCCCCCCCCCTTAACCCCACCTATAGTACGGGGTTAAGCAAAATATTGCCAGTGTGAAAACAGTAGAGAGATGGGCAAGAAGGAGAGAAAAGGACCCAGTGAAAGAGATACGTTTGCATTGTTGGAGTGGTTGAATCACCTTGAAACAATTTGCATATTTGCATAAGAAAGATAAGATAAATTTTAAAACTGGATGCCGGTGCATTTACCAAAAGAAATGATACAAAAAGGCTAGTATAAGCTTAGAGAAAAAGAGATTAGATTTAATTATATGCTGACACCCCCCCCCCCTATTTCTCTCTACAGTACCATGCACACATACACACACACTCTCTCTCTCTCTCTCCCTCTCTCACTTTTCTCCCTCTCTTTTCTCTTTTTGTTATCTCTCTCTCTCTCTCTCTGTATGCCTCTCCCTTCTTTGTCTTTCTCTCTCTCTCTCTCTCTCTCTCTACTATATCTCTGTTATTCTCTTCAATCGTGGAATATTTCTCAATCTCCTTATCTACCGTATGTTTACGTTTCTTATATTTTGTGTGTGTCTAATTGTATCACACCAAAACAAGCGATCATAAAAGAGGCAGAAAATCTGAACTCATCAAAATCCTTTTCACACACGCCCCTCATACATGCATATGCACCCACAAAAACACAAAATTGAAAAGCAATTACATTTTAACGAAACGAAAGTAAGTGCGTTAGTACATTTAGTGCGGTATACCGTCGTTGATGTTGTTTTTTAATTCGTGTCTCTGTGATTGTTTTTTTGTTTTTCTAGATATACAGATACAAAAGAGCTACGATTAAAGAATTTTGTTTTCAAAGCGTTGAATGATATTTCTAAGAGTGAACACAGATATTCATAAGACTTCGCTCATAATATATTTTTAGGATAATACATCAAATGGTACTGAACCAAACTATTCAATAAACTTGTAAATGGAGAATGCTATCTTTAAAGGTAGATATATCGACGCTAAACAAATATTTTGGAAATTAATGTTTCTTTCTTGGAGACCTAGTTATTATTGAATGAACTACAATACTTGGAATCCAGTCTGCATACATTACTTATCGCTATGTCGGACTTGCCTCGGGCAAGCTTTCAGGTTATTGTCAAGATCAACCTTTGTTTCAAAAGTCTGCATACAATTTAAATGTGTTAGTAAACCGGTCTATTTACACTCGACGCAGATGCACGGTAGGATGGGCTAGCAGTAGCTACAGTTGAGTTGCAATAAACACTATGTTTTTATTATACACGATTAATACTAAAATTGTACAGTTTAAATTCGAGCAGCCGAGATAATATCTACTTTAGCTAGAAACAATGGCGCTGTTGTTTTTCCTATATTGGAGGCCTCATCCCTGCATGGGTAAAGGAGTAGTAGTAGACTAGTAGTAGTAGTAGTAGTAGTAGTAGTAGTAGTAGTAGTAGTAGCAGTAGTAGTAGTAGAAGTAGACTAGTAGTAGTAGTAGTAGTAGTAGTAGTAGTAGTAGTAGGAGACTAGTAGTAGAAGTAGTAGTAGTAGTAGTAGTAGAAGTAGTAGTAGTAGTAGTAGTAGTAAGTAGTAGTAGTAGTAGTAGTAGTAGTAGTAGTAGTAGTAGTAGTAGAAGTAGTAGTAGTAGTAGTTGTTGTAGTTGTTGTATATTACCCGTATTCTATCAAACTGAAAACAAATTTTAGTTTATTGATTTCTTATTATTTTCGATCATTTCAGGTCGACAGTTTTTCCATGCAAGCTACATTGACTGAATGGGAATCGTCAATAGGCAACTTTGTCAGTCCTGGGTACTGCCGTGAGTGTAATCCCGTTGGGCGGAGTCAGAAAACCGGTTCTGTTGAACTTTGGAGGAATCTGATTTAAAGAGAAATGAACAACAACAACAACACAAATAACAATTATTTGGAATAAAGTATAGTATGCTGCTTGAAAGTGTCGGCTTGCATGGTGATGTAGATATAGAGTAGGCTTGCGGGTGCACCATGTGAGAGAGAGAGAGAGAGAGAGGATTGAGGAGTCCTGGAAAGGACTCTGACTCGGTAATTGGACTACACTTCAGGACTACACTTGGACTTCAGGACTACACACCCCCAAGAAAGATTACCGAGTCAGAGTCCTTTTCAGGACTCCTCAATCCTCTCTCTCTTTCACATGGTGCACCCGCAAGCCTACTGTATAAATTATAGTATATTCATTCCTTTCTTATGACAAGATGACTAAATATGTATATAGATTCCTGGGTCTTAAAAAGCAACCCACGACGATAAGATGCGGCCCGCCAAAATATCATGCACCAAAAACAACAACAACAACAACAACAACAACAACAATGACAGATTTTTAATTCCTTTTATGCAATGCATTACATCCATAAATACAATTCTCGGAATTCGTTAGTCAAGTTTGTGTCTCTGATTGTGTACTGTGCATGAAAATTCATGAGGGAAAGAGATTAGCCTATATTTTTATTTTGTATTTATTATCAAATCATCTTTCACATTGTACATGGATGTTTGTTATAAGTTTGTTTGTTTTTTTTTTTTTTACCTCTGTCTGTGCGTTTGTCTCGAGCCGGTAGTTCTGGAATACGCGCACGACGGCCATCTTGGTTTCCATTAAAGCAAAACGCATCCCGATACAGTTGCGAGGACCGGCTCCGAAAGGTTGCCAAGCGAGCGGGTGTTGCTTGGCCTTGGCTTCTTTGGTGAATCTGCGATATTATTAAACGTACAAATTATTTAATAATTACCAATGAGGGATTTAGGTTAGGAATAAGAGTGCGACTGGTACGAGCACCCCCCCCCCCTCCCCCCAACCCGCTCCACGCCCATTTGTCATTAAAAACATATAAGAAGAGTACACAAAAGAAAAATGTCCACAGCTTAAACGATATCCTACCAAAAGGCACCGCCAAACCCCTTTTTGGGATGGAGAAAGCCCCCCCCCCCCCGTACAAAAAAATAGGGATGCGGCTCTACTTCTTGGTATCGTAAGAACCAATTTCGTAAAATATTGGAGTACATGTACATTAATCACAAATAACACGTACATTATTTTTTAAAAGGGTGATCGAGCTTTGTAGATTCCTTAACGAAGGTCGACATTTTTTATGGATCGAACTTTATGGCATTGGTTGCCGTCCATAATTATATGAAGCTGCTGTCGTACATACCTCTCCGGGACAAACTTCTCTGGTTCTGGCCAGTAGTCCGGGTCGCGATGGATGGTGTAGACAGGAATGAAGACTTGGGTGCCCTTCTCAATCATCAATCCATTGTGTACAAAGGTCTCGTTACACATCCTATTGGAGCTGTGAACATATTAAGATACATTTTTATTTTGTTTTATTTTTTTAACTTAAAGACGAATTAACCTCGCGACTATGAAGATTATGACATAAAGAGTAAAGCAAGGTTTAATTTGATATTCGCTCTTGGCCAAATAATATCGTCTTGCAAGTACAATAAAGAGACCCTATTTCGCCATATTTACGACGTCGTCTGCTGCCCAAGGAAGCTGCTATTTTGTCGAAATTTTCCTTCAAAACTTCCGGATTGTGAAGTATCGCATGGAGAACTGACGTAGCGCGGCGAGCGCGTTATATGCAATACACGTCAAACATGGTATACTGCCAAGTGTTTTGTTGAAATAATTCTTCCTCGAAAATCAAGGGGAAATCGTTTCATCGGTTTCCAGACCCACAAAATCACAATGAAATATTCAAGCTATGGGTAGCAGCTTTGAAGGTGGAGAAATTTATGGACAAAAAGTACAAGTACGACAGGAAAAACGATGTGATCTACAGTCATCATTTTACAGTTTACAGCAGGAAAACGTACGTACGCGATAGCGGTCGTTTCCATGCCGATGTCACAGAACCGGCCGTGCGCAAACAAAATGGCGACATTCTGAATATTCTCAGAGCCTCGAAAGACGCAAGCCGATGGATTCTAAAGAAGAGTAACGTCCTCCCTTTCGTCAAATTTACGATGTTTTATATTGTTCAGATAATTTTTTTATTGTCCTACAAACTGAAATTAAAATGTAGTTTGAGATTAATTCCCCTTTAATATTAACGCATTATATCACACAGAGTTTGTGATGCCATCTGTTCGATATGTGCCAAAACAGAGCCGACAAACACGTGACAGGAGACATAATTTCCAAACGATACTGTGTGTAAAGCGTTCTCTACCATTTGTGGCCGGATTTGTGGTATCGCGGTTCAGTCACTTGGAGGGTTAAGGCTATTAATCTCAGCCTGACTCTGTAACGTCATTTGGCAAGAAAAGTACCCATATCTTGCCAAAATTTGCCACCATATTTGCCATTTTCTACTAAAATGTAGGGCTACAACGGCCAAAAAAATGAAATCTTACACGGCAGCAGGTGGAAATATCCGCAGAGTCTCGCAGACCACCTGGTCCAGGTAGGGCATTGTGGCAACAGACTTATACCCGACACTGTCGCGAGAGGGCGTCACCCTGTCAATCTCGTCGATAAGCTTCTCCTGGGCCTCGGGATTGGTGGCCAAGGAGTAAGCGATGAACCCAAGGAGAGTGGTGGTGGTCTCGGAGCCAGCAGTAAAGAAGATCAGCCCCTAATTTTGATTTAAGTGATGAAATGAAAGAATAAATGAATCGAAAATGGCTACAGATTTAATGGGATGGATAGTAGGAGTGCCGTGGTCGAATGGTTTAAGGCGCTTGACTGGAGATGCGAAGGTCGAGAGTTCTAAGATATCTACCTGCACTTACTACTCTCCACCCAGGTGTTAAATGGGTACCTGGTAAGATGCAACCGTCATTGTTGGTCAAACAGTTTTTGAGCGTCAAGTAACGCCTGGCTGAAATGCTCCCTAGGGAGTGGAGATTGTGTACACAGTGTGTGCGGGCAAGTATTGAATCCAATGACCGGGGTAATAATATATCTGTAAAGCGCTTGAGACATCATAGATGGATTATAGTAAGAAACTTTATAAAAAAAACTTATAGTGATACATAACAACTTGCTAGTCGGCCTTCATAAAAGTGCTATTTAGAGGGAACCGGGAGTACAAGCGCATGGCCATAGAGAGGTATTGGAACATTTAAATAGGTCTATCTGTGGAAAAAAACACCATGGGAACATTGTTCTTTTAGGTGAACTTCGAAAGTTGTACAAGGCGTCAATCTGTTGATTATCTAGAAGCTTCAGTTAATAATGATAATAATGATATTTTAAAGTCAACTCCAAATTTTATTAAACCGAAAATGGAAATTCTTTTTGCCCAACTGATCGTGAGCCCGGCAGCCGCTGAGCAGCGCCAGATCGACGTTGCTCTACCCCTTATTGTTTAACGCCAAACAAGGTAGCAGCAACTCCCGTCTTTGAACGTCTTTTGGTATGACGCGGCCGGGGTTCATGAAACGTTTAGTTTTTCATATCTGAATATGCAATTTGTGCATATACTTCATCTAAGAACCATAAAATTAAAACGAACAGTTTAGGGCTTCGGGCTTCGACTCAATATCACTTTGGCGATCAATTTCCTTTTCCGCCTCTTACCTGAGCAAAGACCTCATTGTCCGTCAGAGTGGCTTTCTTGCCAAGACCCCTCGAGTGGTACTGGACATCGTGGTGCTTGTCCAGATCGGCATGAATGTCGTCATCGTCCTCCTCCTCCTCCTCGGGTTTGGATTCCTTGTCGATGTTTTCTTGCTTCTGAGCGTCAAGCAGCAATTGCAGGAAATCAACCCTCTGTGAAGATAGTTTCGTGGGTATAATATGCATAACAAACCGTTATAAAGTAATAGCGATAATATATTAAAAAAAGGGTTGTTGTATAGCGCTCATGTATGTCAGACTTGACACTCCAGGGGGTGTTTCACAAAGATCCTAATTTGAACTTATCTATAAGTTGGAATTACAAATTATGGAAAGCCATTAGCATCTTTGAAAATATTTTGTAAAAGTTATTTTTCAAGGAATAAAATGTTGATTCAAATCAATCATATTTTCTATTATCAAGGAGATTTCGTGTTCTTGATGTGTAATTTATGAAAAGTATAACAAAAAACTCTTGAATTGAATATATTTTATTTTAAGGCTACAAATGGCTCTCCATAATATTTAAGTCCAACTGAGAGTTAAGTTCGACTTAGGATCTTTGTGAAACACCCCCTGGCGCTCCACAATTATTAGGCGCTGTAGCCTATCTAGGAATCAATTCCTGCAAGGTACCAATTTTAACTCACCTGTGTCGAGTAGGGCAAATGTAAATTAATGTCTTGCCAAAGGACACCAATGCCGCAAAACTGTGCTAATTTGTTGAATTCATTTTAATGATTCGAAAATCATAACAAAGTGTTAATAAAGATAATATTTGTACTGCAAAAATAAATTTAAAAAATAAAATGACGAAAGCAGAAATACTAAATCTTTTCGTCTTGCCCTCATCGGCGTGAATCACAAGATTGAACAGAAAGCCGAAATGATCAGACAAAATAATCAATTGCTAATTTGCTGTTGTGAACTCAAGAACACTCCAAATACAATCAAACCTGCTTAGTGACCACCTGCATAAAGACCACCTGTCTACACCAAGCACAATTTTTGTTTCCCTCGAAAATGGTTTTTCATTGAAACATTTACTAAAGGAACCTGTCCACAAAGACCACTTTTCGTGTTTCGCTTGGGCGGTCGCTATAAACAAGTTTGACTGTATAATCACCTTAGAGTTGGGACCAGAGGAGCTGCTCTTTCTCAGAGCAATCGTCTTTTTGTTGACATCCCTGAAAAAGTCCAGGGTATCAGCAGGTATGAACATTGCAATCCGAAAGTAAGTCAGGACTTTCCCCAGTATTGGTATGAGAGCTTTCAAAAAGAAATGTGAAAGAAATTGTAATTATGATAATAACAATGATAACATTGCTAAATATATTACTCATTACAGATGTAGTATCGAAAATAGTATCGCTAGTGATATTCGTTTGTCTCACATATAGTCAACAAGGGATCTAAAATATCACGACGTTTGTGCGCCGCTGCAACACTTCGTCAGGTGATTAAATAGAATGTAAGCCATCGTGTTTTATAACGATAATGATGATGATAGTAATAACAATAATAATGATTTGGACTTGCCATTGGGATAAGATACTAGTATACTAATATTTTCTTCTGTTTTTCCTTTAAAACATTTTCTCTTACTCTTTGCATCATGCTGTTCCGTGATGAGTGACAGGCAATAATGTAAACAATACTTTATCGTGATCCTAAAGGACATCTAAAGTGTCGGGAACTCCAAATATATTGATGGCAACATTTCACTTAAATTGTATCATAATGTGAAAGAGGATGTCATTAAGACACATTTCTGCAAGGGTTTAAAAAAAAATGTATTCGAAGTCGAATATTGATGAAAGAATACAACATTTAGGCTTTCCTCGCACAACAGAAAACCCAGCGAGGCTCAAATAATGTTTAAAACATTGTATTTACTTCCGAGGATGAAGAGCGGGTTGGTGAGATCAAACTGGAAGGCTTTCTTAGCATTGGTTACAAAAGGGCTTTTGGGATCGGACTGTGAATCGATGTCGATACCAAAAGCACAGCTCCCAACCGTGTCCATGACGAAAGACCCAAATAGGCTGCAAAAGAAAAGAAAAATAACGAAATATTTTGAATTTCAAAACTAGAAATTACATGTCAGAGAGAAAGCACGATCAGTGTTTGGACAACTGAAAGAGACAAATTGGATGTACACATCATGTAAACACCATTTTAGGGCAACCTGGGGTGTTTCATAAAGAGTTCGTAAAGTTACGCATGACTTTACGAACGACTTGTATATGAAGTGCCAGATAGGATGCCCAAAGTTTTTTCCTGATATTTCCAATAACCTCAATTAAATTATGGCAAAAATATACTTTGCATTAAAAATGTTTGTTATGATAAGAATGTTAATGTACATCTGCACAGTTTAACTTAATAAATAATAATCAAGAATGATTGAGCATCCCATTTGACTTTTCATACACAAGTCGTTCGTAAAGTCATGCGTAACTTTACAAACAGCTTAATGAAACACCCCCTGTTTATATATACATATTTATATATACGTACACATATTTATACTATTAACATGGTAAAGTAATTGGAAGACCTGGGGAAGAACTTATTCAACGACATTATTTCATAATGTGTTAGAAATATAGTAGTTAATTATCAATATTTGTATTATTATCATTATTATCATTAATATTATTCGCGTTATTATCATTATCAATATCTATCGTAGAAGTAAAAATAGTAGTATTATTATAATTTATATCATTACAATTAAATAATTTTAGAACTTACTTTTGGAATTCAGTGTGTCCTTTCTCTTTCTGCATGATGCCGATATGCTTGACGAGACTATCTGCGCTATTGTTGACCAGATGTGACATCTGTGAATAAGTAGAGAATGAAAAAACTGTAATACTGGACTTTTTTGAGTCAGAGGGCATCAACTCTGTGTGGCTTTCAGCAGATGAATTATGGTTGATGTTAATCGTAGTTACTAGCATAATTTCACACCTTTCTTGTTCTTTCTTCTCTATCTGCAACCCATGATAGCTTTACAGTTTTCATCCTCCTCTCACCCCCCCCCCCTCTCCCTCCCGCTCTCTATCTCTATCTCTCCCTGTCTCTATCTCTCTGTCTCCCCTCCCTCCCTCTCTCTCTGTCTCTATCTTTCTCTGTCTCCTCCTCCCGCCCCCTCTCTATTTCTCTTTCCCTATCTGTCTCTCTCTCTCTGTCCCCTGTCTCTATCTCTCTGTGTCTCTATCTCTCTTTATGTCCGTTTCCTCTTTCTCGCCCTGATGATTATCACCACCACCACCATCATCATCATCATCATCATCACCTTCATTAATGTCATCATCACCATCATGATCACAACCACTATATCATCGTCATAGCATCCCCATCATCAATATCGTCGTCGTCATCATCGTTGTTGTCGTCACCACCAACACAGCCACTATCATCATCACCACCAACCATAACCATCACCACAATAATCCTCAACCATCATCCTCATTGTCACCATCATCATTATCCCCATTATCACTCCATCAACATCACCATCATCACCACCATCATTACCATTACCGTCATCATTAGCTACAGCATCATCGTGCTCGAATTTAATCCGTCAACTTTTTATTTCCACAAATCACCACGTATACAAGTTAAAGAGAGACCTACTTGTTTCATCTTTGCGCCGCTGAAGGATGGGGTTAAGACATTCCTCACTTCCTTCCATCGCTCGCCCTCCAAGAGGGAAACCATTCCTGCCAACTCCTCAGGAATCTGCGGGAAACTCTATAAACACGGACAAACAATGGTAGGGAAAGGGGTCTAAATTCTAGCTTCGCTGCTATGTCGGTTTATGTTGTCTTTTGTTTTGTCGGGATTTTCACTGGCAGAGCTTTGGGCGCTGCCTGTCAGACTAGTGAGGCGTTGCAAGAAAGTTGCGATTGATTGCAAGTTGCAAAATTTGTATAACGTTCGGCCGATGATGACTTACATTTCAATAATATACCGATATCCCCTCCTCCCCGCTCTACAGATAACTATTACTATTGTGTATGTTATGATAACTAGGATTTATGATTTTGATCAAGCTAATGTATTACGAAACTATATGTAATATTTGAAGTAGGTTTGTGGTCACACCACATATTCTTTCGACAGGGTAAGTTGGCCCTGAAAAGTAAATATGTCCTACTCATGCTCTATCTCGACGTTTCGATAGGTGGTACCGATCGTCTTCTATTGTAACCACGAACCTCTCTCAAAAGTTTTATCACGATTGAAGCCTTGAAATATTGCATGTAATATGCTTTGCTTTCTTTGAAACTCCTTTGCAATACTTACGACTCTGTTGTGGAAACTATTGAAGCTCTTGACCAGCAGATGACGCAACATTTCGGGGTCGCCAACAACTAGGACCGGGTCCCTGAATGAATACGTCCTGTAACAAACAAGAAGACGTACACCTATTAAATCCCTTGCACACAAGGCGTTATTTCTCTTGCGTCAAATGCTTGCCCTAATCACCTCTGCTAAGGAAATGAGCTTATGCACGGGTAAAAATTCAACGCAGTTTTAGAATATTTCAAGTTCAATTCATTTGTGTGCAATAGCACTCTCACTTAGTGCGTCAAAACTGCATCAGTCGTTGACGCAGTGCTACGTCAGCATATATTTAATGACGCCCCATGAGCAACGGGCAATTCCTGCTTAGAGACCGTTTGGATATATCTTATGGCGCACTTTTGACTTCTTTTTAATTCACGTAAAAGATCTATACACCACTTATAATGAGGTTAGAGCTATATAGCAGAGCCATTTGATGAGAAGAGTTTAGCCAACCAGTTTAGACTTGGGCACAACGTGGCGAATACTGCTTCGTTGGGCAAACACACACAAAAAAACAAGAGTATACGCCATGTTGTGACCAAGTAAAACCAAGTTGGCCAAACTCTGTGTATAGATGGCTCTGAGCTACAGCACACGAAGCTGCCCTAATTCTTTATACCCCCCCCCCCCCAACCCCGCCCAACTGCTTACTCTTTATAAAAAAAAATCGTGTACTATAATACATCATGTATATCTACCAGACTGTCTCTAGCTCATATTCGTGATTTCGCTTTATATATATGAATGATTTATCATTCTTATTTCGTGTTTTTCAGGCTTGTTTAGTGATTGCATTTCGTTTACTGTCACTATGCTTGTCCGCTTGTACTTACCCGTAGACTTTTCCATATTTCTTATTCCACTCCACGAAATTTTCTGGAATTTTCTGTTGACAAATGAAACAAGTAAAATATATTTAATGATGCAACATGAACAAGACCTACTTGACGCCAGCCCCAACCCCCTCCACCTCCCTTTCCTTCACGGGAGGCGTTTCACAAAGCCTATTTTCAATGACAAATGACAAAATCAGTGACAAATCTGCTGTTAACCAATCAGAAGCAAGGATTTCAGTAGCTTATAACAAAAAGTGTCATTTGTCACTGATGACAAGTTTTGTGAAACACCCCCCTTCCCTGTTGTTCCTGCACCAACAAAAGGAAAGTGCAAACATGACAACGCTCGAGATAGATGATGACCCATACGCTTGAAATGACACAGCAATACAACCATGTATTTGTCTTAGTTATCGAAAGCGGACTAACTTTAGTCCATGGTTTAATCCACCCACTAAGTATGGAATGCCAAGTGTCCATATTTCTATATTTTTGAGTAATCTAAGTAATCTGTCACTTAATTAAAATAAAATGTAATTACATAATTAATAAACTACAATATAACTATGATATAATTATTTTATCATGGTAATTTAGGGACATATCAAATTATTCAAAATATATTCATATGGACACTTGGCATTCCATACTTAGTCAATAGATTTAACCATGGACTAAAGTTAGTCCGCTTTTGAGAATGCCACCCTATATGTATAACCCAATATTTAATCATTGTATATCGAATTTGGAGGAGAGTTCTCGCGGTCAGCTGGAGAGACAGGAGAACAAAATTAATGAGTGGGTCGGGAAAATTCGTCGTCGAAGCCCAATGGTTACTCCATCTCTGACATCACTATGTACTCGAAATGATGTCATTTCTTTGGAAATGAAGTGCTATCACTGATCAATATTCGATCATTATTGCTGAGACTTTACGTTACGCACCGAGCCACAAGTTGTCTAAGTAAGGGTGTTGAGAAGTGGTATGCGGGTGGTTTAATAAACACCTGGCTGGAAATGAGAAAGTCATGGGGTCGAGCCCATGTGCGCCAAAAGTGTTCTCACAGAAGATAATAATTTTCTTTTGCCATTTTACACCTCGATCTCTCACCTCTTTTTGTCATTGTCTACTCTTTGTATTATGACCGTGTTCTTCTATCTTTGTCGTGTAAAGTATTGTCTTGTCCCTTCCTCGTCTCTGTTGGCATCCCCCTTTTTCTTTCCCCTATTTTGTAGTTCCTTTTGTAGTTACAGATTAGTTAATTTAATTACTCATTATTCCTAAGTTTCATTTGAGGTGTTCACACTTGTACAAGCATTGCTTTTTAGTGGACCCCTCTGTTTCCAACATGTATTTCTTAAATTTGTTTTAAATGCTTATAATTGATTTGTAATGTTTTGTTGGAAACATGAATAAATTTGAAAACTTGAAATCTTGAAAAAGAATGCCCTGCCGACTCATTAAATATGAAAAATTTACATTCTAGTCATTTTGTGTGTTAAAACAAATGTCACAGTGACGTTTCCGATTCAGCCAATTTGAAGTGCCCTTGGGTATAGTGATTATAAGACTCAAAGATTTATAACTCTCTTATTTTTTTTATTTCGATTTCATTCAAACTTTCCCCACTCTGCTTATCTGATTTTCCTGCCTTCTTAGACGACGAAGGACCGGTAGCACAAGTAACAAAAGGAAATTCGCAAAAAAAAAGTATGGCGCTGGAAAAGAAGGGAAAAGAGCGTTTTACTAGCAATTATCCAAAGATCAGAAATGTATCAATCATTGTCAAATTTACCGATGTAAAGAGAGGATTGCCAATAATCGGTAGAGAGGGCTCGTAAGGCACACCACGCCGCCACCAGTAAGTACGACTCCAGCATTCATATCTAGGCAAAGATAAAGTGAAAAAAAAATTAAAAAATGATAGCTATACATACGAAGCCTGTTGCACATATTCTGGATGTATGGTTGCGCCAAAGCCGGGTTTGGGTGTGTGAGTATGGGTTTGTACATGTGTGGGTGCTAGTTGGGGCTTTTACAGATGCATATCAATCAGACATGATTATTTACGTCTGAAAAACGACCAAATATTACACGGGTTGAATTTGTCTGGATCGATCTGGAAAGTTGTGAATTTCGGAAAAAATAAAAATAAAAGGGGTCATTTCTACATTAACTAATGAAATCTGAAGGGGGGTCTCAACATGGCACATTCATGCAAAGTGCACTCACAAAGCATATACCTCCCCCTCCCCCCTACATTTAGTAAGTCGCGTATGGCTGGAAATATACAAGACATCTAGCTTCATGAAAAAATGACCTGCCAATGAACATCTTCCCATTAAATTCAGCCCTTCTATATGACAGTAATCTTTACAATGCTGAGGTTTGGAAGTTCACTATAATCACTATGGTTATATCCTAAACGCCTGTAATAATACACGGCACTTTCAATGAAATTCCATGCAAAATGCTTAAAGGTAATGAAATTTGTGGGAACATTTTGAAAATTGAATGGATAGCAATTTTTTACCATTTTTTGTATAATGTGGATGCCGCTGTGGATGTAATATAAGCACAAGAAAATGTAGCCCCTAAAACCCTTCTGCTTTCGAGAAATTGAATAAACAAAAATTTACCGGTGCTCCCGTAATGGTAGCTGCGACCATGAAATTCTCAGGATATGAACTTCTGATATATAATTTCCAAACGGGAATAGCTAATCGGTCGTTTGTAGTCAGGAAAAGATTGTTTTAAAGCTAAATGTTATCACTTTAGACTCGATTTTAACCGCGACAACGATCACTGAATATTGTTAAATCGCATATGCTTCCAATATGTTCATTTGAACCAAATTCATGACCCCATACCAAAATTTGGAATGGATATCTCCGTTTGATCTGTTTCAAGGAGGAGAGGAGATTTAGAAGTGCAAAGAACTTCACAAAGTTTGATGACCTTTCACGCAATCTTCTTGCTATTTCAGAAAGTAATGCACGACCGCCACTGTGTCAGCACTCAGGAGGGTCAAAGGTATTAAGATCATTATCATAAACATATTTATTGATAGAATGTAAATATTGCACCAAGGTATATGAAGTGGCGACACAAACTACCTTCTTCAAACAAATATTATTTCAGCTTTTGAAATTCATTTAGTTGTGAACACTCCCCCCCCCCCCCCCACGACAAAACACAGACATACACACACACACATATACACATATATACATATATAAATATAGATATATAATATTAATTATAAATACAATTTTCTAATGGATTCATAATTAACATAAATAGACATATATATATATATATATATATATATATATATATATATATATTATATATATATATATATATTATATATACATGTCAAATTATCAATTATGAAATCTATTAGAGAAGATTTATGGTGACTCTTCCTTCTTAAAACTGAAACAGTTTCATGGAACTGTGGAGGAAGTTCTGAGCAGTGCGTAACACTATCTCTCTGAAAAGACAGATATATTAAATATATGATACTTACGCTACGTACAGGACGCTGAACCCCAGGGTGATCATGGATAGAAGCCATGTCAACGACATCGAGATTCCCATTAACTCGACCTCCATTTCGAGTTCAGTTTGGACCCGGTTGCTTGTAAATTGACGATTAAAGACCCTCAGCTCTTTCAACTGTTGCACTATCAAAGTTGAGTGACGCAGAATTATTATTTTGTGATTTATATACTGCAAGCATAGGCTATGTTCGCAGACCCTTTGCCCCCGCTGAAGGCTACAGACGACGTAGCGTAAAGTGAAATTAGGATTTCATTATTAGCAGCTTATCCACCGTGACTGTTCCCCCCTCTCCCAACTAACCCCATCTGGCCTACCTATAATGAGTAAACAAAGACAATGAACGAGGAAACAAATTGCCTATGTGCCCCCCCCCCCCCCGGCCCACCCTACTCCGCTATAATTTCGTCGCAAAAAGAGCACCTGGAAAACATGGCTATTATGCCAAAGGGCATCTGAATAAAAAGATTGAGGTTGTTATGGTTTCTTCATCTTCTTCATGTGATTTTGCTTTTCACCATGTTTTATTAACTTGTTTACACCCCCCCCCCCCTCCTTTAAGATGAGAATTCTGGCTCCTCCATCACATTACACCACTGTATAGTAACATCAGGTTAACCTCGGAAATAGTTTCAACGTGACATCTCGTACACGGTCTGCGATCGTAGACTAATGCCGTCAAGGGGTCGAAGTACAAACGAGAATATGACGACATGTATTTGCACAATTTCAAAAGACTTCCAAAAAAGGAAATCAAGCAATGTCCGAGAAATATTGCATGGAAAGAATCGATGCAAATGATCACCATTTAAACGTCTCGCCTTTTCCATAAAAGGGCTTCATTTTGTGTTTGTGTGTGCGTGTGTATTCAGTGTGTATGTTTTTCTTTGTATAACTCATTTGGAGGGGAAAAAGTACCCGGGTTCTTATATAATAGCGTTCAACAGGCCATATTTGGGGCTGGTGAGACGAATTCAAATGTGGCCTGGCCAAAAAAAAAGCAAGTCAATATCAAGGAAAGCATGAAGGTATGGAAAAGTATCAGGGATAGCATTTAAATCCATCTAAATTTTGTTTAAAGTTTCGCCACCCCTTAATCGTCGATGCCTCAGTCATAAAACTAAACAGATTCCAAATAGACTCCATAGTGACTGGTTTTTAGCCATGGCAGTATTTGTACTTTTTTAATGATATTTTAGTGTTAACAGGCGGTCTAGTGGTCTATACAACTCCTTACCTCATTGCATGAAATGATCATGGTGATTGTGAAAATATGATTTATTATTGATACATGTATTTCCATATCTTCTCGGAACTGTATTGATCAATAAAGATTACCCGATAAAGTTTGTTCCCAAAAGTTCTGAGAATCAATAAGCCATATTTATCAAGAATAATTCATACTTCACAATCATTTCATTAAAGACGTTTTAAAAAAATCCAACTTTATGGATAACGGTAAATGAAAAGTACGCAAAGGAAATTGAGAAAGAAAAAGCTCTTTTGACAAAATACAGGCCCGTACATGCATGACCAATGATAGGGACTTTTAGATTTGCGTAGACTGATTCGTGTGACGTCCATTCAAGGCACTGCATTAAAAGGACGTCGGTCGTAGCATAGACCTATTGTCTTCGTGCGAATCTAAAAGTCCCTACTATTTGCTTTCTTGGCAGTGTCCTGAAATAATATTTACTTGTTCATCATACGATTCATTATTTACAGAGGTCCACTTATCATGGTTATGTACACGCACATGTATTTGTACCTGTTATAATTCCTACAATAGGTTGTGTGTGCATAAGCGGGGATTCGTAAAGGGTGGTTGAGGAATGGAACATAATTATTTAAATACTTTCATTTCCATCCTGGAGAGCCCGAAATGTTAGCAGTGTCATAATTAAATATAAAGTTCCTGAATCATGTGATCTACCAAATGGAAGTAAATTAAAACCTGCTTCCATTGATTTGGGCGTTCATTTGACTAGTAAGTGCATTGTACAGTCCTACATGATTCGATATCACTGCATTAAACCAGTCTAGACTCGCATCCTGTTCAAGATACTGTTATTAGCTTATGAATGTTTTAATGGACTAGCTACTTCATTTTTATTTAAAGCCTATCTGCACTAGTTTGGCCAGGAGGGATTAGATCTCCCTGCGTGGTCACTGACAGGTGGTTATCTCATCAAATCAGCTCTCAATTAACATAAGAAAGAGGGCATCGTGGGGGACCAACGGGAAGCATTGTTTGCTAAATAGTGCAGTCCTGCTTTAACTGAAATACTTACTGTATACAGACCAATGCGAGATTTTCGGACATGTAAATAGAATTTCTTTATTGTTCCTCATATTCGGACAAATACATCTGATGAACGTTCATTTGCTCGTGTTGCACCCAGTCTTGCAAAAATATAACAAATACAAAAAGGAACTAAGTAACCTATTTGCTTTTTGCTTTTCTTTTCCTTTTGTCTAGAAGCGCATAGCTTCATTGTGTAATGCGCTATACACAAAAAGTTCATTTTATGGGTGCATGTGTGCCAACAAAATGAGAGACGCCTTGCCCGTTCCAAATTACTCCGCCTGATAACATTGTGCTGGATTGGCAGCATATAAGAAATTGTTACCTTTGGCTCCTTTTCTTTTTTGTTTTTCTTTTTTGCATGAGAAAAAAGAAATGGGTGACGTAAAAGGGTTGTCCTATCAATACTCTCTCTCTCTCTCTCTCTCTCTCTCTCTCTTTCTCTCTCTCCTTATTCACAGTTTTCCCTTTCCTCCCCAACCATCATCTCCATACATGTATTTTGTTACATACTCTCTTTCTCTCTCTTCCTCTCTCTCTCTCTCTCTCTCTCTCTATCTCTTGGTTCTTCCTTATACCTTAGTCATACCAACGAGACCGACGCCGGACCGACAACAAACCAAAGATTGCATTACACCAAACGGCTATGAGTCGGTCGGTTTCGGGTCGGGTTTGGCGGTGTGACTGAGTTATGAAAGTTTCCAAAGCTAATATTAAACAAAAAACATGTTCCATCATTCATTAAAAAAAAAAAAACATACAAAACACGAAAAGCTACTCTTACGCTACATTACGTTGCCGTTTATTAATTTCTATATCATTTGTATTACTACTAAAGTAAACGAAATACTACTGTTCTTGAATCTCTACTGAACTAAACTTTCGTGCAGACTAGAAATACCCAATTTTATTAAAGTTCTATCATGTACTCTTACGATACATTACGTTGCCATTTATTAATTTCTATATCATTTGTATTACTATTGAAGTGAACAGAATACTACTGTTCTTGAATCTCTACTGAACTAAACTTTCGTGCAGACTAGTAATACCCAATTTTATTAAAGTTCTATCATGACTATAATAATTATATAGATGACGGACAGGAAACAACAAAATTGTATATGTATTCCTTTGTACTTTTATACTCCTTCGTGATAACAAAATACATGTAAATTTGACCCAATACCGCGAACGCGAAATCATTATTCAATTCTATTCAGGACTCATAAGGAAAAATGGCTGAAATTACAAAACCAGCTAAAACCATGCAAATATCACCCCAAAAGCATGCACGATTATCACAATGACTACCGTAAATCTCCGGGTATAAGATGCATTTTTTTGCCGCCGAAAAAAAGTGTAAGTCGGGGGGGGGGGGGGTGCGTCTTTTTAAAGTTTCGATTTATGCCCCTCCACCTGGCACTATGTCTGGCAATGTCTCCCAGCTCATTAATCGGTGTGTTGACTCACCACTCGGAAACTAGAACAACACTCCAATTTGTCTGTCATCTTGGCTTGAAAGTAATCTTTCTAATAGATCTCAATATGTAGTTTATAATAATAGTTCCTCCTATTTTCTGTTATTACACACGGCGTATCACAAGGTTCTATCCTAGTTTCTCTACTGTTTTAATTTACATTAATTATCTTACACATTCTTCCAAAAACGACATTGTTACTATTATTTGTGACTAGTTCGCAAGCACAAATCGGCGCCTTCAACTGCACCTCGCAGTTGAATGAAAGTCCTTCCCCGCGTGGGTTGTTATATATACACGGAGATTTACGGTACATTTTAGAATGATTATGTATACAAATCCAAGAGGGTAAAATACAGAATAGAAATATATATTTAAACAGCATTCTCATAAAAAAGAAAAGCATAGTGGCTTAATTTTACAAAACCGGCTATAACCATGCATATATCACCCCAAAAGCATGCACAATTATCACAATTACTACATTTTAGAATGGTTATGTTTGAAAACCCAAGAAGGTAAAATACAGAATAGAAATATATATTTAAACAGCATACTCATAATGATGCTTCTAACTTTCTGTTTAGATGGATAGTATAACATTCTCCTCAAACATCTGTTAAGTATAAATGATGCAGTGTATAATTACTAGTACATTATTTATGACTTAAAGAGGGAGTCCACCCGGATGTTATATTGGTTTTGATAAAAGAAGACAAATAAGAGAAACAAACTTGCGAAAATTTGAGCAATGTCTGGTAAAACACAAATTGGCAACACTGTGGCATATCTTTCATTTTCTTAGTTATTGATGACGTATTAGACTAGTTTCATACAAGGGTTTCATACACAAATATTTTTTTACAATAATTATATTTAGCATGAATGTATGATTGAAAAATTTCTTCAGGGAAAGTACAATTTTTGAAGATTTTTTTGAGACCTCGAGAGAGACGTCAAAGAGTTCCCAATTTATGTTTGATTGATCGCACCTTCTAGTATTTCAATCGGATTTTGCTCATACTTCCAATGACCTGTTTCTCTCATGTCTCTGCTTCTTTTAAAACTAACTTAATATTAGGATGTGTAAAGCCTATTTACTATATTAATACAATGTTGTAATCATTTTTTGTTGTTCGAGTTGCTATTGTTCACGCACCATTTTAATTTGAGATTGACAAACAAGAAAGCCCAAATTAAATGCAAGTAGAAATGGCAGATTGTGTCTTATTGCATTTCGATTGAATTAATTTCAACATCACATTAAATTCATAAAAAATTACAGAATCTTAGCAATATTACTAATTTTTACTTTTAATTATTCAAATT